CTCCCGCCCTGTCCGTGGCGCGGACCCCCGCTGCCTCCGCAGACACCGACCAATGGGGACCCCTCGGGAGGCCAGCTGGGCAGGCGGCAGGCCCAGTCTTGTCGGCCTCTGCCACCCCGTCTCCCAGAGGGTCCCCAGGGCAGGCCTGGGCCCCTCCTCAGGGTCTGGCTCGGGGACATCCCCTGGGAAGTGGGCCCCCTGATCTGGGTGGCAGGCCCAGTGTGCGCCCTTCAGAGTCTCGCCCACTGAGGGTGCCGCCCGCCCCGAGGCTGTGGGGAGCCCCGGGGGCCCCTGAGGGCTGCATGTCCTGGCCCAGCACAGAGCCAAGGGCAGGACCCCCGCAGACCCCAGGAGGCAGCGCGACCGGGTGCTCCCGGGGTCCTGCCGCTGCCCCCGTCACGTGCCCGATCCCTCAGGGGCCACACGGGGCACTTCCCATGTCAGTGTCCCGTCTGTGCCTGCAGATTCGGTTCCTCTTCTCCAACTGAGGACTCAGCAGAGTGCCTGTGGGGGGAGGGGGCCAGTCCTGCCGCCCGCTGGACCCAGGAACCGCTGGGGGCAGGGCTGTCACGGAGAGGGCGCCCGCTGGCCGGCATGGGGCTGATGGCGCCCACCCCCAGGGCCAGCGTGGGGCTGCCCAGAAGACCGTTTACGGGAAAAGCAGCACAAACCTCTCGGGCAGAGCGGGTGTGGCCTGGGGGTCGGAGCCGCCTACCCAGACCCTGACCAAGAGCCCCTGGCAAGGGACAAAAGAGCGAGGCCCTGCATGTCCCCTAGAACTCGTCACTGCATCTTCAGACCCCGGAAAACCAGGAGCCGGTAGCCCAGCAACAGAGCCTAGTGATGCAGCCCCCGCTCCGCCGCTGGGCGGGAGACCCAGAGTCGGGCCCCAACGCCTGCCCCTCCGCAGGTGCGCACTCCGCAGGCGGCGCAGGCCACCAGCAGGCCACCAGCAGGCCACCAGCAGGCCAGCCCTCCGCTGGCCAAAGGCAGGCACGTGACCCCGGCGGTGCCAACTGGATTCTGCCCTTGGACTCTGACCCCGGCCAGGAGGGAAACAGACAGAGTCCATGCAGCCCCGCGGGGGCTTCCCTGCCCACCCACGCACGGGCCTGCCCCCCGAGGCCCGGCCCTGAGCTCTGTCCACGCAGGGGCTGCTGCAGAGGCCGCCGCCCAGCCCCCGCGTGCTCTGCCGTGCGGCACGTTCTGTCACTCGCAGTCCCCGAAGCCGGACCGCTACCTCGGGGTGCAGGCCGAGCGTCGAGAACCCAGACCGGGGGTGCAGGCGGCTGGAAGGGCGCACGGCGCGACTCTAGCGCTGAGAGCCCCTCCCTGCCCCGCACCAGCGCTCGGACGGACTCCGGCCGGAGGGGCTCCGTTTCCGTGCTCACGCTCTCTCCGGTTTGCCGAGTAGCCCAGGTGTGCACCCACCTCCCGTGAACGAGAAGAGAGCCCGTAAGCGCTGTCGTGCTACCGGAGTGGGTTTCCTTCCGGTCAGAGGTGGGGACGGCGGCCGGGCCTGCCCCCCCCGCCCCGTCCGTCACACGGGGCTGCCCTGCCACCGCTGACGGGCGCAGGCTGACCTGGCTTGCATCGCGTCCCCCTACGGTGCCGGGGGCTCCCCTCCCCCCAAGTGGCCAGCAGCCCGGGCTCACACACCGCCGGGCACAAAGCACTCTCCACCTCCCAGGGCAGCACGTTGGGGCCAGAGCAACTCCCTCATTCTGGGCCGAGGCGCGGGCTCCTCCCGGCCTCGGGGCCTTTGCACGTGCCCTTCCCGCTGCCGGGGACCCCCTTCCCTGAGGCCTCCGCGTGGCTGCTTCAGCCTCTCATGTTTGGGGTCACGCCAGCGACACGCAAGCACTTGCATCTCTAATGAGACACAGGCCCCTACGTGGGGGAACCTGAGGCGACTGCTGCCATCTGTCCTGGCGTGTCGGCCGGCGTGCCCGCCGCCGGCCAGGCCCCAGGGAGGAACTGGCCTGCCGAGTGCCCACAGCCGGGCTCCTGGCCCCCATGGAAGGTCAGGCAGCACCTCTCTGCTGCCCGGTGTGTGGCAGCTCCGGGCACCCAGGGGCAGCTCAGCCTCAGGGGCACCAGGCCGGCAGTCCCTCCTGGTGGCAGGTGGGGGTGCGGCACAGGCAGCCCCCCAGGCTCCTTGGCCTCCTTCTCCCATCACAGATACCATCAGCCTCACAGAACCAGCACCGCATGCCTCCGCTGTCTGTCCGTCCAACAGACTCCACAGGCCCCCAAGAGATGCGCCCGTGGCCAGGGAGTCCCTCCTCTCCAGGATGGAGGCCTGAGTGGGAATCCGGGAGCCTGAGACCCTCAGCCAAGAGAAATCACAACCTTCAGGTTGTGAAACACACCCGCACCCCTGCAGAGGGGCCAGCTGGGCTCCGGGAGGCCTCAGGACGGCCCCCACCCAGGAGGCCCCCAGCCACCGGCTGCCCAGCTGACCCTGGCTCCTGAGTCAGGAGCAAGAGGCCGGCAGCAGGGTTCTGGCCGACCCCCCCTCACTCTGTGATTCCGGGCCAGTCTCCTCTCCCTTTGAGCGTCAGCTTGCTCATCTCTATAACGAACACGGTCCTCATCCCCAGGCTCGTGTGACAAAGGGCTAGTGATAGATGTCCCCACAGAGCACCCTGAAACACAGTAGCCCATGGGGCTTTCCAGCGGGTTTTCACCAGGGCTCCCAACAGTGGACGGGGGGCAGGAAACAGCAAAGAAGGCCGGAGACTGGTCTCCCATCCACCCCAAGCTTGCACCAGGGCCCCCCTTCCCCTGGATGGCTCAGGAGGTAGAAGCGCCCAGCCCACACAGCAGGAGAGGGCTGCGGGGCCCCTGCAGGCCAGGCTGGGGCTGGAGACAGGCGGGTGCCCCGGCCCAGAGGTCAGGAGATGAAGACCCACCACCCACCAGTGGGCCAGGGCAGCAGCCCCCCACAGCAAGGAATCCTTCACCGAGGGAGGCTGGAAAGAGCCCTAGCCAAGGCCCACGGTGCCCCGTCAGCCCCCCCGGGAGGGAGCTCCCTCTGCTGCCTGCCCAGCGGGGAGCAGGAGCCCAGGCTCTGGCATCCCCGCTGCGACCTTGGAGAGAAGGTGCACCAGCCCAGGGTCTAGGAGGAGGTACGAAGCCTCAGAGAGGTCTCACGCTTGCCCAAGGGCTCCGGCACGGGGGGGGGGGGGGAGGCAGGCCACAGGCCTGGGTCTGGCTCACCCCGCAGCCCCCCGCCGGGAGCACGGACGGCGGGGGATGGAGAGAGGCCGATTTCCACCCCGTGAATTATTCAGTGGCTCGTTCTGCTCCTCGGAGAGGAGGCAGGAGAGAGGGTGAGTCAGAGCCTCCCACAGCGACGAGGGAACAGGGCTCGGGCAGGAACCAAGCTCCTCTCAGGAGCGAAGAGCCCTGTGGGAGGACGGGCCGCGCCGAGGGGCACCTGGCCACCACCCCGAGGCCTCCCTGCCGTCGGGGGCCTGCCCCTTGCCCACTCCCGCCCAGGTGTCCTGGAACCCCAGCTGGGGGCCCACGGAGGACGGCGCCCGGAGTGCCGGAGCGAGGCCCACCCACCCAAGCGTGGCGGGCAGCAGGGACAGGGGCAGTCCAGGGGCCAGCAGGAGCGCCCAGTGCGGCCGGACGCCCCCGGGGCTGCCTGGAGCTGCGGAGCTGACAAGGAGCCTCCGCAAGGGCGGCCCACCCTCTGGCCTGCGGAAGCAGGGCCTCCAGGACAGATGTGGCAGAGCCGGCACACGGAGTTCCTGGGGGGCCCAGAGCTGGTGCCCCCACACCGGCCGCCCCCCAGGGCTCGGCCTCTAGAATGCAGGGATGAGGTTCTGTAAAATCCTGCTGTCTCTGGGTGTGCCTGGGCCGGTCCCTCGCCCCCCTCTGGTCTGCTCAGACACAGGTCTGCAGGACTGGGGGCACAGGCACCAGGCGAGCGCTGGGGGGAGCCTGGGGCTCCCCTGCAGAGTTGGGGTGCCATGGGCTTCCCGTTCTCTGCCCCGGATGAGGGAGGCCACAGAGAGAGAGGAGCTGTGAACAGGTGAGCAGTGACACGGGCCACCCCGGCAGCTGCGCAACGACCGTCAGACAGAGAGGCCCCGAGGGGTTCCCATGGCCAGGTGACCGGGCGCCCAGGTCGTGAGGCTGCTGGAATCTGGACCCCCAGGCAGGAAGAGAAAGCCCACAGCCAGGCCCCTGGCCGGGCACTCAAGCAGCAGTGGCTCAGTGGCAGGGCTGGCATTGGGGCTGGGCATGACCCCAGGCTGAGGGTTCCACGGGGACAGCCTGGTCACCGGGGGAGGGCTGGGAAGGGTTCCGCCACCCCCGGCTCGGCCCAGGCTCAGCCCCCTCCAGCCTTCCAGGCTGAGGCCCACCTTGTGTCCCTGCAGCCGGGCCTCCCCCCTCAGGGGCTCCTGGCAGCCAGTGTCGGGCAGGCCAGGTGTCACCAGAGGCACACGGCACTGTGTGTGCCTCCCACAGCGGGGCAGCCCAGCAGGTCCGCGGGGCCGCATGGGTAGGGGGCTCTTCCTGGCAACGACCTCCTACTCCCCCCCCATCCCGGCCCCCCCCACAGCCCCTGTGATGGACAGGGGCCTGGGCAGGAGCTGACAGCTGGCAGGGGGGGCTCCACAGAGGGGAGGGGGGCGGCTCCAGGGGACCCCAGAAAAGAGGGCCTCAAGCAACGCCAGAGGAAGGCTAGAACCTGCAGGAGGGCGGTGGGCCCTCGATAGGGGAGCGGGTGTCCTTGCACCCTGAAAGAGGAGAGACCCGAGACCCCGAAGACCCTCAAGAAGGGGGGGCGGCAATGACTCATAAGGAAAAGTGGGGCGTTTTAAGACCCTCAAAAAGGACGGGGAGAGCGACCCTCGTGGAGGGGGCACCCGATCCACAAGGAGGAGGGCTGTGACCCTCGATGGGGGAGGGGTGTCTTTAGACCTTTGAAAGGAAGGGCCATGACCTGGGGCCCTGACCCTCGACCCGGGGGCCCACGTCACCTGCTGGTAGTCGGTGTCCTCGGGTCGGAACTGGCTGCTGGTGGTCTCCCAGCGCAGGTTCAAGTGCGGCAGCCGATGCAGGAGGGTCACCCACCAGGGCGCCGTGTAGCTGACCCCGGCCATGGCGGGCCGGCCGCCTCGGGCGCGCGGCCGCGGCGGGGCTCCTCGCTGGTCCGGGGCGCCGGGTTCAGGGGCCCGTCGACCCCGGCCTGGCAGCCCGCATAGCCCGCGCGCTCCTGGGCCCGGCCCGGCCCGGCTCGGCCCGGATCGGCTGCGCTCGGCTCCCCTCGGCTCCCCTCGGCCGCCCGTGCCCGCCGCCTCTTTGTTCGCCGCCGCCACCGCCTCCGCGCGCCCCCGCCCGCCTCAGCCCCGCCCCCGAGCTGCCATTGGCCTGTTACCCGAAGACCCCACCCCTCCCTCTAGCCCCGCCCCGTCATCTAACTCCGCCCAACGCCGCTATTGGTACGTTGGGTAAGGCTCCGCCCACCAGTGGCTCCACCCTCCGGCCGTGGGGCGCTTGGCAGGGGAGGCCAGGAGGACCCGCGCCCTCTCCCCATCCCCAAACGGGAACCAGGGTCCGAGCGCTGGCTGCACCTCACCAGGACTGTCGCTCGTCAGCTCGACCATTGCACATTCATTAAGCGTCTCTGGGGGTCGGCCTGGCGCGGTCGGGCCGGCGGGGGCGCGCAGCCATGGACCCAGTGGCCTGTCTGGAAAATAAGGATGATCTGGGTTCAGACCCATTCAGGCATGGCTACCTAGAGCTGTGTGACCTTAGGCAAGCGACTTAACCTCTCTGTGCATCAATGTCCTCGTCTGTAAAAGGGAAGTACAGTGCGTGTAAAGTGCTCAGAACACCACAGTGTGACAGGCAGTTCCGCATGAGCAGAGCAAGGACAGTGGCCGGGTACAGAAGGTCACGGGGGTGCCTAGCAAGGGGCAAAACTGGAACAACAAGGACCTCGACCCCAGAGGAACCTTTCCTCCCCTGGCCTGTCGCTAGTCCTGCGGTAGACCCCCTTGGGGGAGGAACAAGGGGCCGGAGCGCAGCCTCAGGCGATCCTGCGCGGCCTTCCCGTGACCACTCCCTTACGCAGTGACCCCTGGGGATAACAGCGCGGGGCCTCCTTGCGCGTCAGCTCCAGGCCCAGAAAAGCAGCAAAACCAGCCAAGCGGCCCCTGGCTGCCTCCTCCGGTCCGCTGCACAGACTAATGACCCCCTGCCGCGCACCGACCAATCAGCTACGAGCAGGACTCCGGAAGGGCGCACCTGGAGAACGGGTACACATTCTACCGCAACCCTCCCTGGAGGCCTGCGTAAGAACCCTCAGGACGAAAGACCCAGCACTGTCCCCCTCTGGGGGCACGCAGGGCCCCTGCCTTCCCTTCCCCCACTCCTTCCTCCACAGGCACGCACCTCCGCAGCTCTACGGACCCCACGAGACTTGAAGCCAGGAGGAGAGCAGTGGGCAGTGGCAGCCCCCCGACCCTGTCTCCAGGGACCCCTCTTCCCTGGCTTCCCAGTGAGCTCCAGCAGCCCCGCCTGGGCTCTCCTGCTGCTCCTCGGAGCCCTTCCCTGCTTCCCCTGTCCTGAGGGGGCCTTTGCTGCAGCTGATAAGTTCTTGCTTGACTGCACTTGGTCACCTGACGGAGGAACCGAGGTCTTGTCGCCTCGCTGGTAACAGAAGTATGACCCGGTAAGGGGACCCGAGAGTAGACCGGACCCCACCTGGCCTTCCCATTGGGAGAGGTTCTGTCTGTGGTCCAGACCCCGAGGAACCCTGGCACCCTCGGCCTAGCGCCGTGCGGCCACCCTTCCGTCCGGGGCGTCCTCTTTCCCGTGGTGGGGGGAAGGGGGCCCTGAGGACAGAGGAGTCTGGAAGCACTGTGGGTGCTTGGCCCTGGCGCACCCCTCTCTCAGCACCCAGGACCCAGAGGTATGTCCTTCTGGCTCTGGCTCCCCGCCATCCTGGGTCGTGATGTCTGGACCCCCTGGCTTCTGAGAAGCAGGTGTTCACACCTGTGCTCCGGCTCCGCCGGCTCTGTGACCAGACAGCACCCCCCGCCCCCCAGCCCCCACTGCAGACTGGGCCGGGCCGGGCTCTTGGGGGCAGGGACAGCTCTGGGCAGTGGCTTCTCAGGGGCCTGTTCCCACTCACCTGGTTCCCTGTGGTGAGGCTGGCAGGCCCAGGACGGGTGGGGCCAGAGGCCTTCACAAAGCCGTGGCTCCTCCTCCCAGGGTGATTTACAGACACCAACCGCCCAGGCGGGGACCCACTGCTGGAGGAAGGAGGTCACGCCCACCCCCCCCAGGGGCACAGTTCCTGGCTCTGGGAGGTCCCACAGCCCTGCGCTGCCCGAGGCGTCAGTGCGGCAGGCCCACTGGGGGCCCCCCAGCTCCTTCCCAGGGCCCCAGATGCCTCGAAAAGTGGTGCCTTTGTCTCCGAGGAGGCCGGAGAGCTGGCCCAAACGTTAGAAGAGGTGATAACTTGGTATAACAGGCGGAACTGTGTCCCTCGAGAAGACCTGTCCAGGTCCCACGTCCCGGTGCCTGTCACGGTGATCTTACTCAGTCACACCGCAGACGTGAGCAAGTGAAGGTGGGGTCACACTGGGTGGTGGAGGGCCCCAGTGCGAGGACGGTGTCTGCGGACCCAGAGAGAGATGGGGACGTGCCGAGGCGGAGACACTGACACGGGGAACGCGGTATAAACGTAGAGGCAGATGTGGGGGTGATACATCTTCCAGCCGAAGAACCCGAGGATGGCGGGGGCACCGGACGCTGGGAGGGGCCTGCAGCACAGCCTGCCCCTCCGCCTGTGGGGGGCGGGGGCCAGCCTGCCCCCACCTCAATCTCAGGCCTCGGCCTCCGGGGTGGAGACCGCAGTCCCCGAGGGTTCCGCGGGGTGAAGACCACAGTCCCCGAGGGTCCGCGGCCTGGCACGGGTGCCTGGTGACAGCGTCCACAGGAAACCAGGCACTGGGCTGTTCAGAGCTTCCAGGGGCAGGTGCTCTCTGACGGATCGGTCCCAGAGGGCGAAGGAGCTGGTCACTAACACTCGTGACGTGCCCAGCCGGTGAGGCCTTTCCTAACGGGGTCCGTGGGGAAGGACGAGAAAGGGGTGCAGGTGGGGAAAAGGGGGGAGGCCCATGTCTGACTTCAGCACAGCACTGCCAGAGCCTCCATGGGGGGCGGGCCCTGAGCCCCGAAGCGGCTGGGGCTGGGGGCCGGTGCTGCCGAGGAGCCCCCGTGGGAGTGAGAGGCCCCGGGGCCGTGCTTTCCCGGGAGACAAGGAGGACCTGGGCTCTGGGGCCCCACGCTTGCTGCTGGGTGAGCGCAGGGAGGCACCTTCGCTCGGGTCCCTGAACTGCGAATCGGGGCCCCGTGGGGGCTCAGGGCAGACAGTGAGAGAGGGGGAGCCAGGTGCGGGGGCAGGGCTCGAGGTGGCTCTGACGGCGTGGTTTTCCCGTCTGTCCTGGATGTGTGGCTGGAGGCTGACCTCTAAGCCCCACCCCACAGACGGAGCCACCGAGTTCCCGTCCCGCCGTTGCTGTTGCTGGGGACGCGTGAGAGCCCGGCCCAGGGAGGGGCTCAGACCCCAGCCTCTCGCTGGCGGCCGCAGACAGGGCGACCTGAAGTAGGGCACCGTGGCACAAGGGGTCAGAGACCACTTGGTCTGCATGGCTGGCCACTGACTGGCCACGAGGGATAATCAGCCGTTGGTGGTGACTCAGGGGTGACTCAGGAGGAGGTGGTGGAAGGGGAACCGCTAGGCGCTCTCCAGCTGAGGAAGCAGCCCCACTTGACGGCAGGGCTGTGGTGTCCCGTCCCCGCTGCCACATGGACCGGAAGGCACAGCGCTGCCCGCCTGAGGGCACAGGAAGGGCAGCCCTGGCTGTTGCCGGCTGAGCGCCCTGAGCCAGGGGCCCGAGTGCCCAACCCACCACCTCCTCCCGCGTCCCGCCGGGTCCCCACGTCCCAGAGGGGTGGGGTGGGAGCTCGTGAGGCTCAGACAGTCACCCACCCTCTGGGACGGTGCAGAAACCCAGCGTGGGTGCCCGCTCCGTCCCTGGGCACCGCCCGCGCGCCCACCGGGGCCTGTCCACGCCGTTCCCATTGCCTGCCCTACACCCGCGTCTCGGGTGCTCTGTCAGCTTCACCCTCCCGACACGGCCAGGACGGGGGCCGCCATGCTGAGCTCGCAGGAATGTGAGAAGCGTGTGAGACCCAGGACACGGCAGCTCGGTCCAGGCCGGCTGAGGCGTGGAAACAGCTGGCATGCCCTCCAGCTGCTGAGCGGAGAGACAAGCGGTGGCCCGGCCACACGGCGGACACCGCGCAGCCGAGAAAAGGACCGAGGGGCTGGCCGGGGCTGGGGGCGCGGCGGGGAGGGAGGGAGTGCCCGGCGTCTGTGGGTTTCTTTGACGGGCGACGGAAAGACGTCCGGAGCGGAGGGCGGCGGCGGTGGCCGCGCAGCCCGGGGACGGCGCTGAGTGCCGCTGAGGTGCGCGCTCACGCTCCCACGTGGCTCCCGCGCTTGTGTGCGTTCGCCCCGCCCCCTCCGAGGGGGCTGCCGGGAAGGGGCCTCCCTCGGTCCCGGGCCCCACCCCCGTGCCTCTCCCCCTCCCCAGCGAGGGAAGCGCGAGGATCAGAAGTCTGAGCGCTGAGGTCTGAGCAACTTGGAAGCATCTGGTGGAAGCCTCTGGAGGGAGGGGGAGGGCAGGCCACGCACGGCCCGGGGCCCCTCTCCCAGGCCAGGAAGGTGGCTGGGCTGAGGCTCCCGGGCCACAGCCCCACGAGCCGGGGGAGCCTGGAGCAAGGCCAGCGGGGGCTGGGCCCCTGATGCCGGGGCGGAAGCCAGAACAATGGAATCCCCTGCCTTTGGGCCTGGTCCAAGGAGGTTCACATTTTCCGTGGAGACAGGGCTCCTGCGAGAGCCGGGGGCCGGGTTTCCCTGGCGCCCACCCAGCTGTGGCTGCACAGCCAGCCCGATGCCTGCTCCCCGCAGACCCCTGGCTCGTGGGCCCTGGCCACAGGATGACCACGGAGCGCCGCCGGCCACAATGCAACCAGCACCGAGGCTCTGGAGGTCGGGAGAGGCGCCAGCCGGCGAGGCGCCAGAGAGGGCCACGGAGTGGAGATGTGCACGGCCCCCCCCCCCGTCGGGGGCCACCCGCCTCTCCAGGGAGCCCCTTGGAGACGGCGCGTCAGCCAGGGTGGCCTCTGAGCGAGCGGCCGAGGAGCCGGTCCCCGCTCCCAGCCCGCGGGCACCTGGCTGTCTCGGGACCGCCTCACACGCGGCGCTGGCTGGCGAGGCTCCTCTCTGGGTCCAAGCCCCGCGGAACCAGC